GCCCTCTGCTCCTCCTCTAAGCATGTTCTGGGATTAGGATTTAAAAAAAAAAAATCAGGGTGCACTATCCACAGGGTATTATATATATATATATATATATATATATATATATATATATATATATATATTAAGGGTGGAGACCTTTTTTTTCTGCCAAGGACCATTTGGATTTATAACATAATTCCCAGGCCATACAAAATTATTAACTTAAAAATTAGCTGGCTATATTTGGTCAAACATTTAATTAACGTACCTTGGCAGGGCCAGAACAAATTATTTCTTGAGTCTTATATGGCCCATGGGCAAGATGTCCCCCCCCCCCTTATATAGTTTACATATTGTTTTTTTATAACACACACACACACACACACACACACACACACACACACACATGCACACACATGCATACATGTCTTTGATGGCTGCAATGTAAAAAGTACATATTAATGTGGGGTGTAAATAAAGAGTGTGAAAGCTATTGTTACAAGATTCATATATGTTTATTTCTCAAGCCGAGGACTTTCCTTAGAATTTAAGACGGTGCATATTTTATCACCTATTCCATATCTTCTCTTAGACATCCTCTATGGAGACCTCACACTCAACACAAACTCAAGACTTTCATCCCAATCTTGGTATTTTCTCCTTTGTTCTGAATTTCAGGAGATGGTCCCACCGTCATTCCAACTGAAGAAGCGGGAAACCTGGGAGTCAATTATGGTACTTACCCCTTCCCAGCCCATGTCCATCTTGTTGACTTAAGTGTCTAAATATATCCTTATCCCGACTGCTTTCCTCTATCTGCATCACCCAGGTCCAGTTTACTCGTATCTCTCTCTCATCTGGGTAAACTGGACATCTTTCTGCTTGGGCTCCCTCGGGCCCATTCTCTACAATGTCTCCTGAATGGTATTTTACAGATGCAGCCCTGATCATGTCACTGCCTTGCTTAAAATCCTTCAATGGCTTCTCATCATTCCTAGACTGGAATTCTAGGTGTCTCTCTCTCTCCCCCCCCCCCCCCCTCCTTTCCCAAACCCCTTCCCCCAGGCAGGCACTTCTTTGCTTCTCTCTTCTCCTAAGGTCCAAGGGCCCTTCTTTTTTTTTTCTTTGCCTCTGTAACTTGTTCCCTGAGTTCACTCATGCAGCTCAGCTGGCTCATTTATTTAAAAAATTAAAAAAAAATTAAAATTAAAAAAAAAATCTGAATATGGCTGACCAGAACCCGTGTAAAATCTCCAGCCTTAATTTCTACCATCATCTCCCTCCCCACCTCTGTATCACAGCCACACTGGCTGGGCTGGATAAGGTTGGTTGGCAGACAGCATCCCTTCCCACTCTGTTTGTATGCCTTCCTGTGCTACACGTATGTGCTACGTATTTCCAGATTCTTTTCAGGTAGCGCTCCAGCAATGAGGCACACTTGCATGAGATTCGGAGGGTGGAAGGAAGGCGGGAGTCACAGTGTTGGCTGTTTGCTTGTAAGTTCTCGGGCTTAGAGAACTTGACATTTCACTGTCCTGGCAGTAGCTTGCTGATCCTAGCATCCTGGCCTTGCAGGCAGCAGGTTCAGCAGTGAGTTCTCAAACTCGGCCTTTCCAGCCGTGAGCTCCTGGTTCCTTTCTGACTGTGCGGGAGGTAGCAGCTCCCTGGCAGGCCAGTCTCTGTGTGTTCCAGGAGTCATTCCTAATACCCAGCCGGGGCCATCACTCTCTTCACTAACCAGAGTGGTTTCTGTTTCTAAACCTGGACTTCCCTTGATTTCTAGATGTGTCCAGGGCTTCTCCCATTACAGGGTTATACTTGTTATCCCCTTTGCCTAGGCCAGTGGTCGGCAGACTCATTAGTCCACAGAGCCAAATATCAACGGTACAACGATTGAAATTTCTTTTGAGAGCCACATTTTTTCAAATATATTTTTTATTGATTTTTTACAGAGAGGAAGAGAAAGAGAGAGAGTTCGAAACATCGATGAGAGAGAAACATCGACCAGCCACCTCCTGCACCCCCCCCCCTGGGGATGTGCCTGCAACCAAGGTACATGCCCCTGACCGGAATCGAACTTGGGACCTTTCAGTCCCCAGGCCTACACTCTATCCACTGAACCAAACCGGTTTTGGCAATGAGAGCCAAATTTTTTAAACTTAAACTTCTTCTATCGTCACTTCTTCAAAATAGACTCTCCAGGGCTGGTCTTTTGTGGAAGAGCCACATTCTAGGTGTCAAAGAGCCGCATGTGGCTTAGGAGCCCCAGTTTGCTGACCACGGGCCTAGGCTAATACCCCTGTCATCCCTTTACCCTCACCCCATCTCCCAATCAACTCCTTATATATCCTTTCTTTTTTTTTTTTCTTTTTTTTTTTTAATATATTTTATTGATTTTTCACAGAGAGGAAGGGAGAGAGATAGAGAGCTAGAAACGTTGATGAGAGAGAAACATCTACCAGCTGCCTCTTGCACACCCCCTACCGGGGATGTGCCCGCAACCAACATACATGCCCCTGACTGGAATCGAACCTGGGACCTTTCAGTCCGCAGACCGATGCTCTACCACTGAGCCAAGCCGGTTTCGGCTTTATATGTCCTTTCAATCTCAGTTCAAACGTGTGCTCCGGGATGTTATCCCTGACCCTTATTTCTTTGAATGAATTATCACAGTTTGTAATTAATGTACCTATTTGTGTGACTCTGGAATTTGAGCCCCAGGGACTTGACTGTTTTGTGTTATCCTATTGCCTAGAAAGAGTTAGTGCCTAACGTAACATGTTGAATGAATGAGTGGAATGGAGGTGGCCAGACGGGAGGGTGTTAAGAGAGAATCAAATCTCCCCAATAGCACGGACAAGCCCCGGGCCACCTCCTCTTGGCATTTCCCCAACCACATCTTCTGTGACTTTGCAGACTGAACATGCTGTGTGTTCCAGGTCTCTGCACAGGCTGTTTCTACGTTTGGATGTCTCTTCCTTCTTTACTGGGCTCTTATTCATCCTGCAGGCCTCAGAGGAGACATCATCTCTGATAGGAAACGTGTACTTCACACAATTCTGTACGTTTTGTATTTTTTCCCAGAGTATTTAAAAGCACTTATTATTTTTAAAGACTGCTTGTTACTTATCTGTATCTCCTTCTGAGGCGTCCATGGGCCCTGTGGATGCAGCACAGCGCCTTGCACAGGCCTGGCAGCTAGTCCGCCAGCCTCGTCTAGGGATCTCAGACACTCCCCTGGAGGCCGTGAACAGTGAGGAATTGTAATTTGGGGGCTGCTAGATGGGGAGAGGAAGCTGGGGGAGGTTTGTTCCGCTCCAGCCCTTGGCTCAATCCCCAGAACGCCAGGCAGGAGGCCCTGGGGCGGATTCTGCGGGGGAGGGGCAGGGAAAGTTTCTTCCTCCGCTCGCTCCAGGAGAGCGGTAGGGAGGGGCGGGGAGAGGGAAGATCCTTCCTAAGAGGCTCCTTGGCACAGTGCCGGCTAGGGAGAAGGGGGAGGGGAATCTGATGAATGCAGGCTTTCTCCGGCCCACTGGCCTCCAAGCGCTGGGAGGGAGGGAAATGCAGGGCAGAGAAGATGAGGGGGAGGGAGAGAACAAGAGGGAGGAATCGGGGAGGGAAGGGTCTGTTTATTTGGGGGACAGGAAGGAGAGGGTCTGAGCTGGCTCTGAAAAAGAAAAAGGGTTCCCCAGAGCCAACCAGGCCCCAGCTACTCCAGATCAGCTCTGTAAATATCTGAAATCACTGACTCAGAATCAATACACTGGGAACTTTCTTAGGATCCTAACATCTCAGAGCTGAAGTCTCAGGGGTTTGGGTCTGGGGCGGAGGAGAGGGAATCTCCAGGATTAGTTCCCTTTGGAGCAGTGAGTCAGCTCTCCCAGCAGAGGCCTGGGACTCTCTCTTCCTCCCTCAGAGCTAGAAGAGATGGCATTTTTAAAAAGCCCATGAATACTTTGCAACCAATTCCTGGCACTTATGATTGTAAGATGATGAAACGGACACCATCCTTCTGTCCTTCCCACTAGTTTGTAATTTCTCAAGGACAGAGTCCCTCTCACTCATTTTGGTGCCATTCAGAACTGTGGTCACAAAACGGGCCACCCATCAGAATTGCTTGGGGATTTTTTTTTTTTTTTTGCTAAAAATGTTTCTCCTCACCTTGCTCCAGTGATTCTGATTCTTTGGAGCCGAATTAGGGACTTAACACTTGAGTTTAGGGCAGCCCATAGGGTGAAAATCGGGGAGAAGACAAGGTAGAGGGAGTAACAAGTACAATCCCCCCTCACCCCAATTACAACCTGAGTTTTAAGTGCATTAAGTGATTAGCACACTGGGTTTAGGGAGCAACTCCAAAGGGCCTGGTTCAACAGAGTAGGTGATTGAGTGTTGCCTGCAGGGGCTGGAACTGTATTTGCAAGGTAAACAAGCGGTGTGTAGGAGGAGGTATGGATTGAACTGGAGTCTGTGTACCCACACGCACCTAATACTTCGAAAGGAAATAGCGCAGCACTATTCGCAATACAAAAGATAAATATCAGCACTATTAGCAATACAAAAGATAAATATTTATTCAAACAAAACTTTTAACAATGGATTTTACATTCCAAGCCACAAGGAAATAGCAAAACTTAACGCAAAGGGAAGACAAAAACCCAAAGTAGTGTATTGTCTATTCTCCTTTAACTTGATAACAGTTGACCCAATGCTCTCTCGCATGGCCTATTTCACAAGTACATTTCAGAGTTAACAACTCACTTATAATTCTGGGTTCAAACAGCCTTTCTCCTGAGAGTCAGGAGTTTGCAGATGAACTCCATTCGCTGCTTCTCTTGGGGTGTCTAATGTCTAACTATGGAGACTAAGGTGCAAATGTAAACCTTGGCTAGGTTTCCTTACACAGGAGCACCCCAATTTCTCGCTGGTGGCAGCAAATGGGGAAGGGGAAGGCCCCCAAAGGACCAGGCACACTTTAATCCAGGTGTGATACCCCAAGGGAACCAGTGCAGCCTGGATTATGTCTTCCAAGTATTCAGAAGCCCCTGCTGAATCTTCTTGTTCTGCTTTCTGGCCCAGATGGCACATTGTTCTGGAGAGATCAGACTTTCTGGGCCCTCAAGTGTTGAGGAAAATGTTGTGAAGTGTGAGAGGTAGTGGAATGAGCACTGGCCTTGGGGCCAGGGAACTCTAGGCTGGCTCTGGCACCAGACAGCTATGTGATTTTTGACCCATTTAACCTCTGGGCCTGTTTCACTGTTGGAAAACCTGGGGATTGGTGTAAACCAATTTTTAGGTTCTTTCCGACAGGAACATTCTAGAATCCATACTATTGTGGCTCTTCTAAGCCACCGAAAGAGCTGTCGCAAAGTCCATGTATTTTTTAATGCCATAAAGAGAGGCCCTTGGCCACAGTTCAGAGCTTATTGACTCAGGTTACAGACACTTCTAACAACACTGGTTTTTCACAAATTCTCAGACCCCACGGATTAGAAGCAGCAAATGGTAAGGGGGAGGAGGGGACGAGCTGCACAAGCCAGACATCCTGACAGAAGTCACAGTCAAAAAACATTTTCAAGTCAACAAACACGGATGGAGCGCAGTGTCTACCACGTGCTGGGCCATCAAGATGAGCGAGGCAGCCCCCAAAAGGGTGAAAACTCGGGGAGAAGACAAGGCATATGGGGAGGAACAAGTACAAACCTCCCCTCCCCCAATTACAAAAAAAAAAACGAAAACAAAAACTATTCCATAGAGGGGCTGGCGACCTCGCTGCACACTAACAGTTGTCGGTAAGTCATTACGAATGACAGTCACCAATTGGGAAAAGGCTGACATGGAGTAAACTCGGTTCAAGAAGGCAGAGAGAGAGAGAGAGATATCTCTTGTTTTAAAAAAGGTCTCTTTCAAACACGATAGAAAACGGTTTCAAAAAAGGTTTTGGCACTTAACGAGGGGGTAGGTAAACTGGCTCTGGATTCACCCTGGCAGGCAGGCAGGCAGGAAGGCAGGCGGGCGTGCTCAGTGCCCGGCCACCCCGGGCGGCAGCGGGGGCGCCGCGGCGGCGGCGGCGTTGTGCACGGCTTTGGGGCACTGCGCGAAGGCGTGCCCCCGCTTGCCGCAGAGGTTGCACACGATGCCCTTGCGGCAGTAGGGGCTCAGGTGGCCCTCCTCCCCGCACCGGAAGCACCGGTCCTGCGTGCAGCTGCCGCTCAGGTGGGTCCGGGAGCCGCACTTGAAGCAGGTCTTGGGCTGCCCCTTGTACCAGCTGTAGCCGCGCTCGGCGCCCAGGAAGAAGGCGCCCGGGAGGTGGCGGACGCCGCCCTCGCCCTGGCGCAGCTCGATCTCGCACTTGTACTCGCCGGTCCAGATGCCGAAGCGGTCGGTCACCTTGACGGGCACGGCCAGCACGTCGCAGTGGCGCTTGAGCCAGGTGACGATGTCCTCCACGTCCACCGTCTCGTTGCGGAAGAGGATGAAGAGCGTCTTGAGGCTGGCCCTGCTGCGGCCCAGCACCACGAAGTCGTCCCAGCAGTCCTCCTCCTGGCGCTTCTCCTCGTACACGCGCAGGAACAGCGCCAGCTTCTCGGCCGAGCGGAAGCTCACGTCGAACTCGCGGCTGCCGGGGATCTGGATGACGGCGTAGATGTCGCCGGGCTCCATGCCGATGGAGCGCAGGATGAGCGCGCCCACCACGAAGTCCCGGGTGGGGCAGGCGCTCTCGTCGCCCTGGAAGCAGATGCGCACGAGAAAGCGGCCCTTGCCCGGGCCCGCGGCCGCCGAGCCCGCGGCCGCCGCCGCCGCCGCCGCCCCCAGCGCGTCCTGCGGGGGGTCCTCCGCCGCGCCCGCGGCCGCGCCGAGCCTGGACGGCGTCGCCATGGCCGCCCCCTCGGCCTTCTTCCTGCGGCCCGCCTCCGCGGCGCCTTTCTTCTTGCGGGGGTCCGCCGCCTCGCCCGCCGGCTCCCTCCGCCGGCCCTTGGGGTCCCCGCGGCTGGCCGGCGGGAAGTCGCCGAGGCTCGGCGCCGCCAGGCCCGCGGGGGCGCCCAGCGCGCCCGCCCCGCCGCCGCCGCTCTCCTCCTCGCGCCGCGGCGGCCGCGACTCGCGGAACTCACCCTTCTTCTCGGCCAGGTTCTTCACCACCTGCGCCCAGCCCAGCTTCCCGCGGCCGCCCGCCGGCTCCTCGGCGCGGGCCGCGGGGCGCGCGGCGGGCAGCAGCTGCGGGCGCCCCCGCTTCCTCTCCTCCTCGGGGCCGCCGCCGGTGGCCATGTTACCTACTTCCCAGCATCCTCCACTCGCCCCCGCAGCCACGGGGCGCCCATCGCGCGGGGCGGTGGGTTTGGGAGGCTTTTTTTTTTTTTTTTTTTTTGAAATTTGACGCCGCGCTTCCCCGCCCCGCCAAAAGCACGGACGTGCGGCGCCGGGCGGCCGCGCGGTCCCGGACCCTGGTAACGGCCGCGCGCGCTTCCGGCCGGCGCGCCCCGCCCCCGGCCCCGCGGCCCGGAGCCCGGAGCTGGGAGCGCGGCCCCGGAGGCCCTGGCGGCCGCCGCCTCGCTCTCGAGGATTCGGGTTGCGCAAGCGGCCCCGTCCCCGCAGCCCGCAGCCCCGGGGCGGGCCGAGCCTGGACCTCGCCCATCTTGGCGGCTTTTGTTTACCTTTTCCATTCAGAGGAAACCAAACTTAGCCCTCCCTCCTCCCCGGGGTACCACAAGGCGAGGTTGGGTTTTTTCAAACACACAGAAAGTTGAATTCAACCGCGAACGTTTCGCCTTCTGACTATTTTAACTTTCTAGCATTAAAACCTTATTGCACTGTACCTCCATCAGGCCTTAGTTTTGATAATAATGTGTTTTTTTTTTCAAGTAAGTTAATGACATTTTTTAAAAAAAAGATCTCCCGCATCCTCAGGAGAACAGTTTATAACACACTGTGCGCCGGAGCGCCCGGTCCCGTTCTAAGCACAGCGCAAGCCTGGCCACATGGAATCTTCCAAAAACAATGGAATCGTCCAAAAGCAATGTTGCCGTGGCCATTGTTCAGGACAGAGGGGCTCTGAGTGGGGGTTCAATTACGTGGCCCCGGGCAGAGCTCCTAATAACAAATGGGTGGCTTGTATTTCTGTATTAGACCGCTTTGTCTCTGACGTTGTGCATCAGGGACTCTGCATCTGACTCTCCAGGAAACAGCCTTAACACAGATTCCTGGCTACAGTTAGCACCGGACAGAATAAATCTGTTCCTCTCGCGTCTGTCTCAACTGGTGTTTTGGAGATATAGCATTTGGGTGACTGAGGGGGTGGGTTTAACATTACCTTTCTGCCAGTTTTGTCTTTTTTCTGCCTATCTGCACATTCCAGGGTGCTCCTTTCCCCCTTCAATGAAAGAAAAGGTGGTTGTGGAGTCAGGGAGACCGACCCCCCTGTACATCTGAGCGCTTCACATCGCAGCCTGGTCCCGTGGGGCCAATGACTTCAGTTTCCATAGCTTCAATCTGCTCCCCCACAACAAAGGGATGTTAACATCTACCGTCAGAGGAGGGGTGTGGGAGTTCAAGGAGATAACATGTGCTAAAGACCTTGATCCACGGTGTTTTTTTAAAAAAAATTTTTATGTTTTAAAAATATTTTTTTTATTGGTTTCAGAGAGGGAGGGCGAGGGAAAAAGAGAGAGAAGCATCGATGATAAGAATCATTGATCATTCCACAGCGGGTTTTCCAGGATTGGTTAATTGAATGCCTCAAGGATGCTATCAAAGGGACAGGTCCCCTCCACTTTCCCCTCTTCCATTCCGCCGTTTAGTTACCACCCCTCACAGTTCCACAATTCTGGGAATGCCACACAGATATGACAGTATCTAGTAGCAGATGAGAAAATGTCTCCTTCTCTCTCTCTCTCTCTCTCTCTCTCTCTCTCTCTCTCTATATATATATATATATATATATATATATATATATATATATATATATATAAATTTATTTCAGAGAGGAAGGGAGAGGGAGAGAGACAGAAACATCAATGATGAGAGAGAATCACCTGTCCCCCCACCCCCCAATCGGGATCAACTGCAACCCAGGCTGGACCAAACACATAGGTCAAAGCTCAACCACTAAGCCAATGGCCTGGCTATAATGTCTAAATATATATATTTAATTGATTTTTTACAGAGAGGAAGAGAAAGGGATAGAGAGTTAGAAATAGCAATGAGAGAGAAACATCAATTAGCTGCCTCCTGCACACCCCACACCAGGGATGTGCCTGCAACCAAGGTACATGCCCTTGACCAGAATCGAGCCCAGGACCCTTGAGACCACAGGCCGACGCTCTATCCATTGAGCCAAACCGGTTAGGACTCTATGTTTTTTTTTTTTGTTTTGTTTTGTTTTTTTAAGTGTGATGAAAATCTTTCCTAAAAATATCTAAGTAGACTTCTCACCCTATTCTTTGTCTCAACTTTTATCAGATGCCTATGACTAAACCTAAAACTGGCAAGAGAAATGGACCCATGAAACCTAGCTCAGACCAATCATGACTTCTGGAGAGGGAGCTGGGACTAGGGCTGGGGCCTGCCTCCTCTAAAGACAGTGCCTGTCTGAGAAATATCAAGCTGAGATGCACCGGGAGAAATGGCTGTTGGGTAGGCAGCCACCCAGGTTTGCTGCGTATTGCTACCTCCTACTTTTTAACTCTTTTGTGGTACAGAGCTTCTCAGCTGGAGTTGTGGTCCAGTGGGCTTTGTAAACGGGGGTGCCTGACAGTGATTCCTTCAGCCCTAGGGGCAGCCGAAAGGGTCCTGGATGGCCGGAGTACCTAGCTAATGCTTTTATCATACCAGTCTCTTCTGTTTACCGTAGTGTGCAGTGCAATTTAAAACATTTTCTTGTGATTTTTAATGGGGGAGAAATTGGGGAGCTCTGGCCTAGTATTCTTTAGTAACATTCCCCTATTTAAGTTTAGGAGATTTCAAATTATTTACTCCCTCCAAATTATTTTTTAAACTGGAATGTACTTTTATTTTATTTATATTTTAAATATTTCATGGATTGATTTGAGAGAGAGAGAGAGAAAGATTGATTTGTTGCTTCACTCATCCATGCATTTTTTGGTTGATTCTTATATGTGAAATATAGTAGCAATCATATTTGGGTAAAAACTGCTGTTTTACTTTTAACCCTGCTATTCTGGTTTCGGCACTTGCTTACTTGCTTAAACAATAGGGTAGCTGCCTCAGCTTCCAGTTGAGACCTGGAGGCTAAGGCAATTTTCCTGTGTCTATGGACCAGGACCACAGGAGATTGATTCCCATTGACTCAGTAGCTCCAGGAGTAGAAATTGTAGATAACCTTTAGAGATTAACCGCTCAACTCTGCTTCTGTACTATCTGCTTTCACAAGATAGGGCCACATTCCAACGTCCAGCAGGATGTGGCTGGGAACGACCTTACGGGCTGTTCCCAGCCTTTGGAATTTAGAATTTAGAACAAAGGAAAATTCTTGTGGTTTAGACCTTAAAAAGGACTGCCTACACCTGGGACGGTGCGGTCTTGTGGACTCCACCTGTGCGTGGTGCTTTCTCTGCTGTCCTGGCCAGTTCAACAAATCCTTGCCTGCTTTTTTTTTAAAAAATCAATCATCAGCTTCGGTGGTCTTATTTTGAACCCAGGGTTCGACCCCCCAACAATATGTGCCCTGACCAGGAATCAAACTCACAACGTTGGCCCTAGCCAGTTTGGCTCAGTCGATAGACCATCAGCTCATGAACCAAAGACTGAAGGGTCTTGGGTTCAATCCCTGTTAAGGGTAATATACCTGGGTTGCGAGCCCTATCCGTGACCCTGGTCAGGGTGCATGTGGGAAGCACCAAGTTCATATGTTTTTCTCACATGTATGTTTCTCACATGTATGTTTCCCCCTGCTTTCCACTGTCCCTAAAAATCAATAGAAAAATATCCTTAGGTGAAAATTAATGAACAAACAAACAAACAAGGAAGACACGCAACCTTGGCTTATTGGGACGATGTTCTAACAAACTGAGCTACCTGGCCAGGGTGGGAATGCATTTTTAAATTTATGCTATATAGCCCTAACTCAGTGGTTGGCAAACTGTGCCTCTCGAGCCACATGTGGCTCTTTGGCCCCTTGAGTGTGGCTCTTCCACAAAATACAACATGTGGGTGCACATGTACAATGTGATTGAAACTTTGTGGCCCATGCGCAGAAGTCGGTTTCTCAAATTTCTCAAAAGTAATTTCAGTCGTCGTACTGTTGATATTTGGCTCTGTTGACTAATGAGTTTGCCGACCACTGCCCTAACTGGTTTGGCTCTGTGGGTAGTGGACTGAAGGGTCCCAGGTTCAATTCAGGTCAAGGGCACATGCCTGGGTTGTGGGCTCGATCCCCAGTGTGGGGTGTGCAGGAGGCAGCTGATGGATGATTCTCTCTTATTATTGATGTCTATATCTCTCTCTCCTTCTTCCTTCCTCTCTGAAATCAATAAACATATATTTAAAAAATAAGTTTATGCCATATAGAGCAAATCTGGAGTGTGGAGAGAGAATTGGAGTGGGGGCAAGAGTGGGAGCTGATACTGTAGTCCAGGCCTGAGAGGAAAGCAGGGTATGTGTGTGGGTGACGGTAGTAAGTGGCCTGATTCCAGAAATACTTTAAAGGTATTGCTGACAGATATGGATGTGGGATGAAAGATGAGTCAAGGATGACTGCAGGAAGAGTTGTCATTTTGAGTTGGGTGAAAATGTTTCTGGGGAAAGAATGCATGCTAGTTGCCTAATGCTGTCCAAATGGAGATATTGAGTAGACAATTGGCTGTTTGTGACAGAAATTCAGGGAAGAGGCTGATGATGTGAGGCTGGGAAGCATCTGGGTAATTATGGGATCTGAAGTCATAAGACTGGAAGGGAGCACATGGGGTGAAAGCAGCTATTACTGGGGCAATCCAGTAATAAAGGGAGAAGAGGAGGGGCCAGCAAAAGAGAAGAAAAGGAGGTAGGAAGGAACTCCTGAGAGTGGTTTCCTGGATGCCACGTTTAGAAAGCGTATCAAGGAAGGAGTGACCCATTGTGCCAAATGCTGCACATAGGCCAGGTAAGATGAGGTAAGATGAGTTTTAGCAAAGTGGAGGTCACTAGTCGTGTTGATTGACAAGGGGAGTTTCTGGGGAGGGGGGGACTGTGAAAGCCTGGCTGAAGAGGCAGAAAGGAATGGTAAACAGAGTAGGCACACCTCTGTAGGAGTTTTGCTGTGAAGTGATGCAGAAATGGAAGGGGAGCCAAAACCGGTTTGGCTCAATGGATAGAGCGTCAGCTTGGGAACTGAAAGGTCCCGGGTTCGATTCCGGTCAAGGGCATGTACCTTGGTTGCGGGCACATCCTCAGTAGGGGGTGTGCAAGAGGCAGCTGATTGATGACTCTCTCTCATCGATGTTTCTAAACTCTCTCTCTCCCTTCCTCTCTGTATAAAATCAATAAAATATATTAAAAAAAAAAAAAGAAATGGAAGGGGAGCTGGATGGAAGTGACCACTTAAGTTTTTGTTTTTGTTTTTTGGTATTTTTTATTGATTTTTTACAGAGAGGAAGGGAGAGAGAGAGAGAGAGCTAGAAACGATGATGAGAGAGAAACATCGACCAGCTGCCTCTTGCAACCCCCCCACCCCCCACTGGGCATGTGCCCACAACCAAGGTACATGCCCTTGACCAGAATTGAACCTGGGACCCCTCAGTCCGCAGACTGACGCTCCACCACTGAGCCAAACCGGTTTCGGCAAGTTTTTTTTTTTTTAATATATTTTTATTGATTACAGAGAGGAAGGGAGAGGGAGAGGTAGAAACATCAATGATATAAGAGTATCATTGATCGGCTGCCTCCTCCATGGCCCACACTGAGGACTGAGCCTGAAACTGGGGCATATGTCCTGACTGGGAATTGAACCATGACCTCCTGCCATAGGTTGACGCTCAACCATTGGGCCATGCTGTCTGGGATGTTCACTTTTTTTTTAAAATATATTTTATTGATTTTGTACAGAGAGGAAGGGAGAGAGACGGAGAGTTAGAAACATCGATGAGAGAGAGTCATCGATCAGCTGCCTCTTGCACACCCCCTACTGGAGATATGCCCGCAACCAAGGTACATGCCTTTGACCAGAATCGAACCCGGGACCTTTCAGTCTCCAAGCCGATGCTCTATCCATTGAGCCAAACCGGTCTCGGCAACTTTTTTTTTTTTTTTTTTTTCAATAGAAGAAATTAAAATATGTTGGTATGACAATGAGACTAATACCGAGAAAAGAGTGATGGGAGAAAACGGGATGAACTGCTGGGGAAATACCTTAGAGAAAGTAAGAGAGACTAGGATTCAGTGCATAAGTGTAGGAATTGGTCTCAGTGGGCAATTTATACAGAGTCACAGAAGAGATGTAAGTGGGTGAGTCAAGAAGGTGATGTGAACTTTTGAGTTTACTGATCCCAAGATTTTCTTAATGAAATAGGAAGCAAATTCAAGAGTAAGGATTTGTTCCTTCCTTTCTTCCTTCCTTCCCTTCCTTTCCCTTAAAAAAAAAAAATAATAAGGATGAAGAAGGAAGCAGTGGAGGTTTGATGAGAGTGAAAATATGACATAATTCTTTAGGCTGAGGGATATTTGAAACCAAGGTGAAAAGAATGTGTGCAGAGCTAATTTTGCCCTGCAAGGTTCGTCCCTCTAGGCACGCCGTAGTCTGCGTGTCCGTTCCCTTGGAGACGCGGACCCAGAGGAAGCGTCTGGTCTCCCAGGGACGTTGGGGCGGCCTGAGTTCCCGCGCCATCCGCGCTGAGGCTGGGAAGTTGGAGAAGACGAATCAGTCGGCATCCCAAGAGATCGGGGCCCCACGGACTCCCCAGAGTCTTCTTCCATCTTCCCCCATGCCGCGTGTAGGTGGAAGGAGGAACGCGAGGTGGGGAAGGGCGCACGCCGTTGCCTCCCGCCCGCGCTGGGGGGCTCTCCGCGGTCTCTCGGTCCCCCCTCCGCCCCCTCTCCTCGCCCACATCTCCCCGGCCCCGCCCCCCTGGCGCCCTCTGGGTTCTGGTTTTGGATTCACGCCTGTTTCCTGCTTGCTGCTTGCATCCCTGGGTTGGAATGATGGAGGTCTTTCCCGCCTAACTGTTTTCTGACCTACCTACCCTAGGCGTCACTCTCCAACCCCCAAGGTCCAGACTCCGGTGAGTAGGAGTTGGGTGGGGGTAGGGGTGGAGTTGGGGGAGGGAAGGGGTGGGGGTAGGGTAGGGGAGGAAGCGGGGAGGTTCGCTGATCCTGAGCCTGCAGCCCTCCTGCTCTCCATTCCGCTGAAGCGACAGGGTCCTGAGCTCTGGATTCCAGGCCCTGCTGTGTCACACGCTTGCTGTGGGGCCGCGGCATGCCTCTGGACCTCAGTTTTCTTACCACCTTTATCAGGATGGAAGGGTGTGGGTATGTGATGTCTGTCTCTCTCTCTCTCTCTCCCTCCCTCTCTCTCTCTCTCTCTCTCTCTCCCTCCCTCCCTCCCTCCCTTCCTCCCTCCCTCCCTCCCTCTCCTGTGATTCTACGGTATGCCGGTTCCCTTTGGGTCTTTTTTGTGCCTTCTGTTCCTCACAGTTCTTAGCACCTCACAGCCTGGATGTGCTTAGTAAGTTCAGGCTGGCTGATGATAGAGTGATGGCTGACGCTTATGGAGCACTTACCACCTGCTTTACACACCTCTCTCAGAATTCTCACACCCACCTAGGGAGGTAGGTTTATCATTAGATCCAGGTCACAGATGAGAAAACTGAGGCTCAGAGAGGTAAAGTCACTTGCTCAAGGTCACGGATATCGATAAGGGGGGGAAACTGGAATTATTATTTTTTAAAATTTTATTTATTTTTTACAGAGCGGAAGGGAGAGGGATAGAGAGTTAGAAACATCGATGAGAGAGATACCGATTTAGCTGCCTCCTGCACACCTACTGTGGATGTGCCCGCAACCAAGGTATTACATGCCCTTGACCGGAATTGAACCTGGGACCTTTCAGTCCGCAGGCCGTAGCTCTATCCACTGAACCAAACCTGTTAGGGCTATTTTTTTGGAGGGGGATTGACACTTTTTTCCAGTTAGATAACTTGTCTGACTGTTGAATCAGCTAGTCTCATTACTGCAAAAGTCTCCCTTAAATTTTGTTTTGGGAACAAACACATAACCACACACACACAGAGACAAATTGACCTCCGCCACCCACTAAAAGCACATCAAGATGTTCTTCTGACCAGAATCCTCTTTCGTTGGAATTTTTAAAAAAGATATATATTTTTGTTGATTTCGGAGAGTGAGGGAGAGGGAGAGAGTCAGAGAAACATCATTGATGAGAGAGAATTACTGATCAGTTGCCTCCTGCATGCCACCTATTGGGGATCGAGCCCACAACCGCCGGCATGTGCCCTTGACCAGAATCGAACCTGTTACCCTTAAGTCTGCAGGCCATCTTTCTATCCACTGAGCCAAACCGGTTAGGGCTGAAGCTGGAATTTGAACCCATAAGGCTGTGTGACTGATTCTGTTTTGTCTGGTAGGATTATGTTACATGGCAGCTGACCAAACATAAAATCAAGCCATTCGTTCCGCTTCCGGTCACACACAAAGGTGGCCATCAGAAAAGCAAAATGAAGATTAGTGACCAGCCAGGTGAGCAGAGGCACTCTGGGCTGGAATGGGAGTTGGGGATCGGATAGAGTGAATGCCTTTGGCCTTGGTGACTCCATTTGTTTTAGGGGAGGCTCACTGTTTAACACAGAAGCTTATATCTAATATATGTCAAAGGACATTTGTGCATCTGGGCAGGAGGAGGTAATCTTTTCTACATGATTATTATTATTCTTTTAAAAAATATATTTTATTGTTTTTTTACAGAGAGGAAGGGAGAGGGATAGAGAGCCGGAAACATCGATGAGAGAGAAACATCAACCAGCTGCATCCTGCACACCCCCCACCAGGGATGTGCCCACAACCCATGTACATGCCCTTGACCGGAATTGAACCTGGGACCTTTCAGTCCGCGGCAGATGCTCTATCCACTGAGCCAAACCGGTTTCGGCTCTACATGATTATTTAGGGGCCTAGATTCCTTTAGCCTTTGTGGCTATAACATTTAGTAAGGCCTTAAAGTTCTCTGCTGGATACTTCTGCATCCAGCTGGCAGAGCAGGAGCAGAGAGAAAACAAGAATATGGATGATTTTGTGGGCATTTTATTTTCCAGGGCCCAGACTTGAAGTGATACAATATCACTTCCAATCAGAAGCCATAATTCAGTCATCTGACCACTCCTAACTACAAGGGAAGATGGGAAATGTAGCCCAGCTATATGTCCAGGAGGAAAAGAAAATAGGGTTTGGTGAATTCAGGGTCATCTCTGCTACATCACTGTCATGCCTTCCAGGGGAGTTCTGAGGCCTGGGCCAGGCAGACATGGCTTCAGATCTTAACTCTGCCTTTTAATCTCTGAGGAAAATCATTTATTCCTCCATGCTGACCTGATAGGATTGTTGTGAAAATTAAATGAGATGATCTCTTTAAAGCATTGTTGCTCAACTTTTTGGTCCCAGGTTCAATTTGCCATACTCAACACTCCTTTTTTAAAAAAATATATCTTATTGATTTTTTACAGAGAGGAAGGGAGAGGGATAGAGAGTTAGAAACATCCATGAGAGAGAATCATCAATCAGCTGCTCTTGCACACCCCCTACTGGGGATGTGCCCGCAACCAAGGTACATACCCTTGCCCGGAATCGAACCCGGGACCTTTCAGTCCGCAGGCCGACACTCTATCTACTGAGCCAAACCGGTTCCGGCTCAACGCTCCTTTTAATAACAAATATTTTGTGATATTCCTTTAGTCTCCTGAAATAAATTTCATAGATAATATAACCTACCTACATATATAACAAAGAAATAATATAATACCCTAACTATAAATAAAAAGTAAAAGTTTTTTTTATAGTTTAATAATGTATTTCAATATGTAAATGCTCAGCTTGGACTCCACTAAAAGATATGATAAGGTCATCAGAGCTTACTTACAGAGGTACAGCAAGCATGTCAAACTCAAAGGCTAACACGAACCAAATAAACAAGGTTTAAGTTTATGTGGGCCACAAAAAAACACAAATTTCAATTTTCATAGAAACGTAGGATTATTTCAATAGGAACATGCTGAATACATAAGGCTGAAATAAATGAGTAATCGTTAACATGAAATAATAGAACATTTTAATAAAAGTATTTTTTTCTTGAACATTAACTTACCAGACACTGAATAATTGCACAAATTAATAAGCGTAATGCAAATAAACCTATTCTTCTTGTTCCTCGAAAGAGAAATATTTCCTGTTGCGCACACCAAATAAGTTAGTCCAAGACTAATTACGTGGCAATCGGCTGCTAAAATATTCGCTGCCAGTATTAGTGGAGAGAAATGGTGCACTTGCGTGTAAGGCACATAAGAGAAATGAGTGCGACATGATTATAGTAATTAGTCATCAGTGAACGTTGTAGTTCATTATTACTAATTATGTATAACAGGATATTGTAAAAATTAAGTTATGAAATTTTTATTAAAACGTTCTTACATACCATTATGTTGGCTGGGCTGCAAAAATACTTGTGGGCCGCATGCAGCCCATGGGCTGCGAGTTTGACATGCTTGATATAGAGAATCCTGGTGAATGTAACAGTTGCAAAGGAAGGCAGACTGACAGGTGGTAAGATACTGGGACTCTAATACCAGGGGGATTTTTCATTGCTGCCATGATTTACAAAGTGGTACCTACCTTTTGGTAAATTCCAAACAAAATAAAGCATGATCTTTCTTTTGATTGTAGCTGCTTTCTTGGAAAATTCCACATTATAGTAAACCTCTGCAAAATATATTCTCTCTCTCTCTCTCTCTCTCTCTCTCTCTCTCTCTCTCTCTCTCTCTCTCCTCTCCCTCTCCCTCTCCCTCTCCCTCTCCCTCTCCCTCTCTCCCTCTCTCTCTCTGCCAATCCTCGCCCCAGGATCTTTTCTATTGATTTTTAGAAAGAGTGGAAGGGAGGAGGAGAGACAGAGAAACATTGATGTAAAAGAGACACATTGATTGGTTGCTTCTGGCTTGTGCCCATTTGGGATGGGGATCGAGCCTGCAACTGAGGTACATGCTCTTGACTGGAATTGAACCTGGGACCCTTCAGCCTGCAGGTCACTACTTTATCCAGGGAGCCACACCGGCCTGGGTGCAAAATATTCTTTGTGTTTATATGTGACCCACAGTCAGGTTCTGGGATCAAACCATTCTAAAGAGCGTTTTCACCTACACCAGTATCTGTTAGTATTTGGAAGGTCAGGTAGAACATAGGAGAATTCTGTGTTCTGTGGGGCTGTCCTGTTTGGGGATGTCTAGCATCTCTTGCTCTCACCCACTGGTGCCAGTTGGGTCCCCCCCAATATCTGTGAAAACTCTGCCAAGGTACCTAAAAAAAAGGTACTCTTTTGAGAATCATTGATGTAAAGTGATGATCTTAAGGCCTGGTGGTGGTGGTAACAGAATTTTTTAAAAAAAATATATTTTATTGATTTTATACAGAGAGGAAGGGAGAGAGATAGAGAGTTAGAAACATCGATGAGAGAGAGTCATCAATCAGCTGTGTCTTGCACACTGGAGATATGCCCGCAACCAATGTACATGCCCTTGACCGGAATCCAACCTGGGACCCTTCAGTCCCCAAGCTGACGCTCTATTCATTGAGCCAAACCGGTCTCGGCTGGTAACAGAATTTTTGTCTAGAGCCCTAGACTCTATTCAGACAGCATTTTTATTTTATTTTTATTTAAAAAATATATTTTTATTGATTTCAGAGAGGAAGAGAGAAGGAAAGAGAGATAGAAACATCAATGATGAGAGGGAATCACTGATTGGCTGCCTTCTGCATGCCCCTACTGGGGGTGGAGCCCAAAACCCAGGCATGTGCCCTTGGCTGGAGTCGAGCCTGGGACCATGCAATCCATAGGCCAACGCTCTATCCACTGAGCCAAACCAGCTAGGGCTCAGACAGCATCTTTAATGAAACTCTTGCCCAATTCCTTTACTGAGAAGCCAGTGAAGTATATAACAGACACAACCACAAAAAGAACAAGAGCAATTAACGTATGTCAAGCACTTACTACATGTCAGATACTATTCTCAGCACTTTACAACCATCACTTCATTTAATCTTCCAAACAGACCTGTGAGAAGGGTGCTGTTGTTATCATCTCTTACAGATGAGGCACAGACAGGTGTAATTCCTAAGGTCACTCAGGAGGGGCATAGCCAGGCCCAGGCTGGGACATTTGACAATTTGGTTTTAGGACCCACAGTCTTTTTTCCCCATTTGATTTTTAGGGAGAGTGGAAGGGAGAGAGAAAGACAGAGAGAAACATCGATGTGAGAGAGACACATTGATTGGTTGCCTCCTGCATGTGCCCTGACCAGGGCTTGGGCTGGGGAGGAGCCTGCAACCGAGGTATGTGTCCTTGACCGGAATCGAACCTGGGATCTTTCGGTCTGTAATCCAATGCTCTATCCATTGAGCCAAACTGGCAAGGGCAGGACCCACAGTCTTAGCCATACATATATAGTTGGAGAGAGTGTGGGCACTGGAGATATCCTGGTGAAGGATACAGATTGGGTTTCTAGTCACTAAGAGCTCATGGTTCCAACCTCAAACATGTAACTACACAACCCTTTATACTGAGATAGAAGAAGATGATCATCTTGTTCACTCCTTACAATGACGGGAGATGATGTTATCGCCATTTTACAGATGAGGAAACTTAAGCTTAGGATGGTAACATGTTCTGTGCAAAGTCGTGTCCTGATGATAGTTTTGTATATTCAAGAGAAATCAATCATTTCTACCAAGATGGAATAGCCCTGATTCTTTCTATTCCTCCCTTGCACAATTAAAATATGTTGGATATAACACACAAACAGAAAGACTCTGAAAACTGCAAAGAAGACAGTGGACTGTTAGTGTGGCGAGTGGACACAATCATCTGGAATGACAATGAATACGGGGAAACCAAATTTAAAACATTTACAATCGCTCTAAAGAAAATGATTGGCCTGGCTGGCATAGGCATAGCTCAGTGGTTGAATGTTAACCTGTGAGCCAGCAGGTCACATTTCGATTTCCCATCAGGCCTTATGCCAGGGGTTGTGAGCTCAATTCCCAGTGTGAGGCATGCAGAAGGCAGCTGATCAATGATCCTTTCTCATCGTTGTTTCTATCTCTCCCTCTCTGAAATCAATTAAAAAAAAAAAGGAAATGATATGTAGGTATAAAATTAACAAACATATATAGGATTTGTATGTTGAAAATTATATGTAATGCTGGTGAAAGAAATAAAAAAAACTAAGTGAATAGAGAGTCATACCATGTTCATGGATTGGAAGACTCAACATAGTAAAGATGTCAAATTTCCCCAAATTGATGTATATGTTTAATACAGTTCCTATCAAAATTCCAGCAATGTTTAATAGACAAAGACAGATTTATTTTAAAATTTATATAGGAAAGCAAGGCCCTAGAGTAGATAAGACAATTTTGAAAAAGGAACAATAGTATGGGAAGAATCAGTTTACATGAGTTTTAAAAAAATATATATTTTA